CAAGCACATATATAATCATTTTATGTAATTAAAGTATTTTATTCTGACATTTTTATTACTATAAACGTTATTTTACTGGATACATGTGTTGGAGTGGAGAGATCCGTCACCCAGGCAGTAATGTCTTCTTAAATATCTTTTCAAAAATAAGTGAGTCCACTTAAACACGTGTATTCACAAAAAATGTTTATAGTCATAAAATTAATGTCAGATTCCTAAAATAAAATTAATTACTATAATAAATGAGTTCATGTTTACTGTACGTAATTATAAGTTAGCTGATACATGCACCGAAAGCCAGCGTGGCTGAACTGAATAGTGTTTTCCTGGGATAAAGCAGACGCTGGTTCGTTCCACGCCGAGCGGAATATTTTTCTTTAAAAAGAAATTCTGTTGTCTTGCAGAGATTCATTTCTTTGGGTTTTTTTTGGGTTTTTTTTAAGCATTTCACCCAAGCAAGGCGGGGCTGCTTGTAAGGGGTTACAGAAAATGAGAGCAAGAGTGAAGAGGGGTGTTTAATGAAAGGATATAGATGAGGACGTGGATCAGTATGAAGATATTAGAAGATGTCGATTGAGATTACACTTGAATATTTCAAAATGGTAGTTCTCAGGGATGCAATTTGGAGGAAAGGAGTTCTACTGTCAAGGATTGCGAGAGAAGGATCAGTTGGAGAAGAAGAGGCGGTTATATTTAACTGTTTCGACAGTGAAAGGGTGGGACCGAGATGCCAACCTAATGGTACGTTTAAATTCATGCAGCTGGGGTACCAGAGAAAGTAGCTAATCTGAGCAGTTGCCATGAACATATTTGTAGAAAAGACAGAGAGAAGGCACGTCTTTGAGAAAGTGACTGTAGACGAGATGCCAGATCAGGACCTAGCACATTGCATATCCGTCTCTTGATTTTGGCGGGGAACTCAAGATGAACAGCGGGGGCAGCAGACCATATATGGCAGCAGTATTTAATGTAATGACGAATAGTACATTTGTGGATTTGAAGGATGGACTCAGGTGAGAAAAATCCTAACTTGTCTCAACATATATACATTAACACAATCACACACGCACGCATAAAACACACACACACACACACACACATATATATATATATATATATATATATATATATATATATACAGCGTGTCCATAAAATTCGTGTGCACTTTAAAAAATTTATAACTTTATTTGTATTTGCGATAGAAATAATTTGTAAAAAGGATTAGAAAGAAGAAAATCTATATTTTTTAAGGTTTTATTGTAATTTTATTTAAGTTTCCACATGTTCTCCATCATTAGCAATAAAAAGGGTAATACGATTGTGAAGTTCACGGAAAACATTTGCCAACTGATTTACAGTAATGCCTGAAATCACATTAGTTATTTTAGCTATACTTAAAACTTGGTACATTAAGCTTGATAACATCTTTTACAGATTATTTCTATCGCAAATACAAATAAAGGTATAATTTTTTAAAGTGCACACGAAGTTTATGGACACCCTGTATATACATATATATATATATATATATATATATATATATATATATATATATATATTCATTTTATGTAATTAAAGTATTTTTTTTCTGACATTTTTATTACTATAAACATTATTTTACTGGATACACGTGTTGGAATGGAAAGATCCGTCAACCAGGCAGCAATGTCATCTTAAATATGTTTAAAAAAAATGAGTGAGTCCACTTAAACATATGTATGCACAAAAAATGTTTATAGTCATAAAATTAATGTCAGATTCCTAAAATAAAATTAATTACTATAATAAATGAGTTCATGTTTACTATACGTAATTACAAGTTAGTGGATACAAACTCCGAAAGTCCCAGTGAGATAAATATATATTTCGTTTTATTCGGAGCGGAATATATTCTTTAATAAGAATTTTTGTTGTCTTGAGGGAGTCATTTAACTTTTTATTCTAGATTAGTCTGTATGTGCCGCCAAAATCAACGGTAATTGTTAGACAGATTTAACAGTGAGAGGCAAAGAAACAAAAGACTTAAAGTAATATAATGACTTGCAATAAAACAGAGATAAAAAAAAATTCATAACTAAAATAGCGACCAATGAAACATTCCCTACATATTTTTTTGTCGTCCAATGGTATTCATGACTCCTTGATTACTCCTGGTATTATATAAATCGATTAATTATTTATTATTATTATTTATTTATTATTATTTAAGCCGTTCTCTTTATATTTTTTAATCGTTCAATGGTATTTAGGATTCCTTGATTACTCCTGGTATTATATAAATCGATTTTTACTCACTATGTTTTCACGTTAGACAAATTATGGGTTTAATATAACAGGGAAATGGAAATATCTCTCGAAAGAATTTGACTAGCAACAGAACGATAAAGAAAGCAACGATAAATAGAGCAAGTTGAAGCAAAATGATCACTTTATAGTCAAAGGTATCTGAGTGCCTCACATGAAAGACTTGAACCAATAAAACAGCAAAATAGTTTTCAGTATTGTCTCTAAATGTAGGAGTAAAGGAACTGATAAAGTAAACGGTTTATTTTGCTCGGGAACAAATTTTGTCTAAATGCAAATAAATATTTTATTTGTATAGATTATTGCTAAAGTAAAACCTATATGATAATATTTTTAGTTTTACTTTATCTCTAAGAATCTGAAATCAATACAATCCAAAAATTTGGCCGATATTGACTAGACAGATGACTACATTACCAATGTCCCAGTTCTCCTACATAGTCTATAAAATGCTGCTAACGATGTTGGACTCTATGTTAATGCCTTTAAAACTGAATTCATATTCTTCTACCATCAAGACTCAGTACAAACTGTCACAGGTGAATCTATAAAATGTATCAAATCTTTTACATACCGAGGAAGCGAGATAAAGTCTACTGAAAAGGATGTGAAAATCCGCATAGCTAAAGCCCTGGTCACCTTGAATAAAATGAATGTAATCTGGAAATATGATCAACAAGACAACCTCAAACTTCTTGGCCATGAACTAAAAACCAAGAGTCTAAACTTGGTGGAACATGTACTCAGACGCTGACAGCTATATCTAACATTAATTGGAGACAACGTCCAAATGAATCACAGCTCTATGGAAGCCTGATATTTTTACAATTTTACGTGAACATAGAATGCGCTTTGCAGGACACTGGTGGTGAGCAAAGCAAGAGTGATCTGTTCTGGACACCTACCTTTGGAATAAGGCGGGTTGGTCACCCGTCTTACCACGGACACTTACTAGCTATGTTAACCTATTGACCTTCCGTCTTTGATAGGGACCATAATGTTTGGCCTGATAGACTCATGAATCAAATGCGTGACAGATGGGTATGGTTTGCCTAATATAAGTCAGTGTCTGCAGGCTGCTAATTTAGATGTGGGGGCGCATCAGAGACTTATCAGATGGAACTGACATGCTGATGGAACGATGATGTTGGAAAGACCCAAAACTGCCCCATGACTCAATTCAGAACATCACTGACGAAGCCCCACTAGCGCTAAAGAGCGTATATTCAAAGTATGAATGTTTGAGCTAGCTCGACCGAATAATAATAGATTATTAAAACAATTAAGGCAATTAATCACTAGTAAATTTAATAACAAGTCTATTTACCTCCATTCCTCGGACAGATGGAACCGTAATATATAAATAAATACACTTTGGTGATAATTATGAAGACTGATTACTTGTTCCTAACTGTTATTATTTTATACATTACTGGTGATGGAATAAAGTTATTTTCATTCGCAGTTACCTTCACTAGTTAACTTCATCTATTATGTACGTTTTGTTTTTGTTCGGATCTACTGAACTTCTTCTTCATTGTACCGTACCAATTCCTGACGGGGAAGGTAGTGGCTCGCTACAACCTCTTAACCTTCCTAGAAGTATCTGTCTATATTTCTGAGATCTGGTATTATGTACACTATATAAATTATTCGGACTATTGACTATGTTTGTCGCCATATTTATTACAACGTTTCGGCCTTTCAGTATCTGTCTATATTTCTGAGATCTGGTATTATGTACACTATATAAATTATTCGGACTATTGACTATGTTTGTCGCCATATTTATTACAACGTTTCGGCCTTTCAGTATCTGTCTATATTTCTGAGATCTGGTATTATGTACACTATATAAATTATTCGGACTATTGACTATGTTTGTCGCCATATTTATTACAACGTTTCGGCCTTTCAGTATCTGTCTATATTTCTGAGATCTGGTATTATGTACACTATATAAATTATTCGGACTATTGACTATGTTTGTCGCCATATTTATTACAACGTTTCGGCCTTTCAGTATCTGTCTATATTTCTGAGATGAGGCATTATGTACACCATTTACATTATTCGGACTATTGTCCTCATCTTTGTCGCCATATTTATTACAACGTTTCGGCCGTTGTACGCTCCGCCCTTCTTCAGGTGGTTGGAATGTCGAACATACCCCTTTATTTCGCTCACTGGGGTAGACTGTTCTATTTCCACGTGCCATGTTTATTGGATGTCATTTATCCGTTATTTCCTGTTAATTTTAAAGTTCTCCACTGCCTTAACCGGGTATTGAACTCACATTCTTTGGCTCCTGCCACTGGATCTAACCAACGCTTTTATCCACTATGCCATGTATCCTTAAGAACATGGCACGTGGAACTAGAACAGTCTACCCCAGTGAGCGAAATAAAGGTTCTTCCTAGAAGTGTTAGTCTTTTTTCAGATCCCAACTTGTACTCCCATCCATTACACTAACATCTTATCTGGGTTGCTCACTGTTTCCTTTCAGTGTTAATAGTTTCTATGGGTCTTCCAAATGTCAAATTTATCCTTATGTATCCTGGAAATTCCAACACTCTTTTTCTGATTCAGATCATAATGTTCTTTTATTTTTGACATTTTCATTAAATGTTCATATCATAAATACTCTGTACATAGTATTCTCAAACTCCTTCAGTAGAACCTCATCTCTATTAGGTTTACGGCCATATCATATTGAAACACTGGTTCCTGTACGAACCCCGAATTTAAGCAACGTTGAGTCTGGTCAGTAATTAGATTGGTGACCACCTCCAAATGCCAAGTGTTGTAAGCTTGGATGTGCAGCTGGTGTAATTGGTGATGGTTTTGAATTGTTAATGAGAGAGCCAAGTTTCAATTCCTGTTATTTAGTTATATTCACTTACGCTCAAATCTTCTTAGCAAAGGTAAGAAACCACTTTTTCTTCCCCAGCTATGGGTTAATTAGTAAGATTCGTATAACCCATCTTCAACTGCTTCAATTAGATTAGACAATCAGATAATCGCTATATAAATTCTACTTTTTTTCTTATTAGTATTATTTTATTTTTTTATCCCATAGGGGCACCATGTGTACTGCATCTGAGGTAGAAGTGATGTTTCTTGGGCAAAATGGCCTGACGGAGCACAACCATCTTCATGCCGGTTTTGAATTCAGAAATTTCCTTCTTCGAGACCGGTTGCCATCCAAGTCTATATAAACCAATCGATCCTGCAGTTTACCCATAGCTGGGCGGAGAAAAGAATTCATACCTTTCCCAAGGTTATTATCACGTATATGAATCCAATAGATCCGACTGGAATTCGAACTCGGCTCTCCGATTCCTCAATCCGAGCCGCTATCCATTACTCCACAGTTTTACGAGCACTTAATGTACTATCTGCTAGTTTAGACGTCGAAAGTTTTATTTGAAAAATATAATTCTAGTCAGGAATCGCATCTGCATTTTTTTGTTATTTTGGAAGCACCTATTAGCAAATCGTACCCTGCCGTTCCGCTATAGAACTGAGTACAGTAAGGTTACTGTTTTTAAGAAATCTACATCTCTCGTTGGGACATTTTGATGTTTATATCCCCTAACCGAAAGTGTCTTTTTTTAATTCGACATTATGTCAACAACGAATATTATTAACGGTAAGAAATATTAAAGGAGTGATTAATCCAGTAACTGTTTAAAATACTTTTATATTTAAAGGATGAAGGAAACGATCCCAAAGAGAGAGAATCTTATAAAACGTTCATTCAACTTCGACAACAATATCTGTCTATATTTCTGAGATGAGGTATTACAATTATTTAAATTATTTACATTGTTCGGTTTTGTCCTCATCTTTATTACCATATTCACGACGTTTCGGCCATTGTAAAGTCCGGAGAAACAGGCCACCCTCTTCAGCTAAGATTGCAAGAACATTGTAAAGTCGTAACACGTGGGAAAATAGAAGAATCATGCGTAGCTGACCACATATTGAGCGAAAAGGGAGATCACCGCCTCCTCTGGGATAAGGTTGAAATAATAGACAAAGAAAATCACTGGAAAGTACGAAAACTTAAGGAATCAACACATATGCGATATATCTCCTGAGCCGACCAAGCATAGAAATGAATACAGTATGGGAACCAGTAATATGAAGTGCGAGAGAAAAGCAATAATAAAAAAAATTGCAAAAAAGCACTGTTAACACTCATGGCTACGAAGACATTAAATTTATAAGTCCCAAAAATTCATCCCCTGATGTCCACAAGACAAGGGACATTGGACAAAAGCGTTGACCCCAAAAGTTGTGAGTTCAAGAACAAAAAATTGGAGAGTTGAGTTAAAGGGAGACAACTGGGATCTACGGAAGAGGCATGGGACGAGGAACTAGAATAATCCAACCCGGTGGACGAGATAAAGTGTTCAGTTCAAAAATTCAATCACCTGAAGAAGACTCTTTACCATAACTTTTATTCTTCTCCTGCCTTCAGCATGTCCTTCCAGTATTAAAGTTTCTAGACCTACTTTCCACATTATGTGTTCTTCATATTTCATGGTTTGATTTGTTTAACGGAATGTCAACACATCAATGGGTTACTTAATGCCGACAAGATTTTTATTGCTGGTAAAATTTTTTTTTTCTACCTATCTATCTATTTCAGTATATATTGATTTGGTTTGGTTTATATTGCTGGTAACATTTTTTTTAAAAACTAAATGCTGGTAATAATTTTTCACAAAATATGTATTACTGGTAATATTTTTTCCAAAAATATATTGCTGTTAATACTTTTCTTTTAAAAAAACCATGTACTACTGGTAATATTTAAAAAAAAAATATTGCTGGTATTAAAACCTACTTTTACACTTTCATAGTGTTCCAAGCTCTTCAAATCCTTCTGATCAGAGGCCTTGCTGTCGGATGTAGTTTATCGTCTCACCCAGGAGGCAGATGTAGTTTATCGTCATACCCAGGGCGCCCACACATGTTAAATGTTTTATTTGATAGTATCAGTTACCTTGTAGATGCTGATTTTCTTAAAAACTTCAGTCCGTGCCTTTTGTGTTGAAAGAAAAATAAGTTTTTGTAAAAAGGCATGATTCTACATCTCCCTGTCCTCTCTCCAATTATTAATTATCTTAATGTCTCATGACTAAAATGTCATAACGGCGGGCAAAAAAATGAATAATTGAGTAAACCTTTGGGAAAACGCATTTTCTTTGTCATTACCAGCGGAAATTATATTATCTCTATGAAAATACGACTATCAGAAATAATAGACACATTTTCAGTCCTTTTTGACACTATTGTATTTCATCATGATAATTTCCTATATTTTTATGTCGACGTAAGTAATTAGGAAAATCTCATTAATAGCCGGATAATTATCGCAAAGTTCTTAGAGTTTCTTTTGATCCAATTATAAGGTGAACGTACTGAGAATGTACAAGTTCACAAGTAGGTAAAATCTATGGACGGACGATCTCGTCGTTAGTCCTGTGCAGTTTTGTTTATTGTTTTTTTTTTTCAACCAGAGACCATGAATGTATTCTATTTTCTAATAAAACGATTTATTTACATTAAGGTTTCATTAAATTAATTGTATTATAATGTGTTTTAAAAAAAAATAGCGAAATCTCAAAAGTGTTGCATAAATTTCCGGAACAACGTGCCTCAGCTTATTTGTTTTTGTCTTTTGGAATTTAACAAGTTTAATCAAATAAAATGAAGGGATAATATAAAAAGAAAAAAAATATCCTATCTTAAAGAACTATCTTGCACTAATCTGTTTATACGTTACAAGCAGGATAGGCTTCGCCATCATCATCATCATTATAATCATCATCATCGTTTCAAAGACATGATGCCGTCAAAGAGTATCCACTGCAGATTTATGGCTTACAAATCCGGTGAGGTATTCACTCCTGTGGAGAGTGTAATGAGCAGTTTAACTTAGTGAAGACTGTCATGCTCCAACTCATGCAACAGATATAGCCTTTGTTTCTGTTGGTGGTGGTGGTGGTGGTGGTGGTGGTGGTGGTGGTGGTGGTGGTGATGATGGGAAGGGCTAAACCCTGGCCGTTGGTGATCCTTGTCTGAAAAGAATGCTGGGGAAATCGGTTTAGTCAGCGATGACACCATCGTACGGCACGTAACAGTGGCATTCGTAGATTAACGTGACATGTGAATGGATTAATTCCGATTATTCGACACAAGTTGGATTTATCTCTCATAAGATTGCCTTAGCGATTTAGTCCAAATATTAGGTTGTCCAAAAAGTTCGTAAACAATTGCGAAAAATTCAATTATGCAATTTTTAATTGTTTTTTTTTTTTAATTTATTGTTAATTTTGATAATTTTGAAAAACATTTATTTCATTAAAATTTTTATTTAATTGTTTTTTGCGTTTATATTGTTATAGTGATCTTCATCTTTGTATTTCAGACGGCAATTGATAAAATTGAGCTGCGATTCGTTACTGCTGGAAGCGAGGTCTTTCAACCAGAAAAGCTGCAGAAGAGATTTGTGCTGCCGAATGTGAAGGAACAATTGCATATGCGTCGATCTCAAAGTGGTATAAGCGTTTCGATTCTGGCGACATGAGTCTTGAAGATAAGCCTCGTTCGGGACGGCCGTTAAAGTTGGATGATGGAGACTTGAAAATCGGGTTGGACATTGCGCCGTCATCGAGCACTCGAGAATTGGCTGATGGGCTTGGAGTTGGTAAATCGGCAATTCACCGACACTTGAAGCAACTTGATTTTGTTCACAAAAAGCCGCGCCAAGATCCGCACGAACTCACCTAAGCACAAGCCAACAGACGAGTTGAAATTTGCCGTCAATTGCTCAGCAATCCATTGGACGAGCGTTTTTGGAAGCGCATTGTGACATCGGACAAGAAATGGGTTTATCTGGTCTAGCACAATCGAGACAAGCGATGGGTTCAGAAAGAGCCAGAGACACCGTCGGTTCCAAAACAAGATCGATTCGGCCAGAAAGTCATGTTGTGCGTTTGGTGGAACTTTGAAGGAATCGTGCATTTTGAGTTGGTTCCGAATGGTCGTGCCATCAGTGCCGAACTTTACTGTCAGCAACTGGATCGGGACTACGAAAAGTTGAAGCAAAAGTACCCGGCTCTGATCAACCGAAAGCGCGCTTTGATGCAGCAGGACAATGCCAAGCCACACACCGCCAGGAAGACCAAAGACAAGTTTGAAGAGCTGGACGGCGTTGAGGTTCTGCTATATCCAACCTACAGTCCTGACTGTGCTTCATCAGATTACGGCCTTTTCCGCTCAATGCAACACTTTCTGAAGGGCCGCCGATTCGACTCGTTTGATGAAGTTGAGGAAGCGTGTCAAGAATTATTTGATTCGAAGCCGGCTGAATGGTACTTTCACCAGATCCGAAAGCTTGCAGATCGATGGCAGAAAGTCTTGGAAAATGATGGTCTTTATTTTGAGGAATAATTTTTGTTGTTTTTACTTGGCGAGTAAAATTTCAATTTTTTGCAAGTGTTTACGAACTTTTGGGACAACCTAATATTATAACTAGCCTTTGTTTCTTTCTTTCGAGGTTAAATTAAAAAATAATGTCATTCGTATTTTCCACCTATTTCATTATTAACGTGTGCATTTGTACAGGGAAAGATAGGGAACAAATACGAAACGTTTTTTTTAAATTTTACATGTTTCACTCTTTAAAAAAAATAAACTTAGTCTGAGATTGAAATATGGAAAAAGAAAAAGAAAGAAAGATAAAATATCTCTTATTTTTGATTTTTGAACTGTTTGCTTATCATTGGTAAAATGG